TCCAGCAGCTCCAGTAACTGCAGTACGAGCACCTCCGGGACCAGCGGCTCCAGCACCTCCAGCACCTCCAGGACCAGCAGCTCCAGCACCTCCGGGACCACCAGCTCCAGCGCCTCCAGCGGCAGGCCCCTCAGCTCCAGCAGCGCCACTCCGAAGGCTCCAGTGCCGAGCAAACCACTCGCGCAGCTGCGGTGGAGAGAGAGGCTCCCGCCGTGACGAGGCACCTGTAGGACCTCCAACAGATAAAGTAACTCTAGGCTCAGCACCCTCAGACTCAGCACTCCCAGGCTCCGCACCCTCAGACTCAGCAACCCCAGGCTCAGCACCCCCAGGCTCCGCACGCTCAGTCTCAGCACCCCCAGACGCAGCACCCCTAGCAGCACCAGAGTCGACAGCGACCTCGACAGGCTCGACAGGGACTACCTGAGACACACCTGAGGGAGCAGGACCCTGAGGGGGGAGGGGGTCTACCGGAGGAGGACCTGGTGCGAGGAAGAGCGGCGGGGGGGGGAGAGGGGCAGTGCCGTAGGGGAAGAGACGGTAAAAGGGAACCGACTCGTCAAACGTGACGTCCTGAGAGCGCAGGACACGGCGCGAGGTGGGGTGGTAAAACTGCAAGCCAGGCGCGTCAGGGGGAAAGCGAAGGAAGACGCAGGGAATGGCGCGGGAGGAAAGCTTGTCCGCGGAAGTATCGCGGACAAAGGCACGAGAGCCCCAGACCCAGAACACCGACGCATCGCCAACCTTCCCTGTCCAACGCAGTGTAGGCGAGGTCTCCAGAGGTTGAGCTGATGCGCAGCGTACAGGACCGCAAACGGCCACAGAAAATGGGGGGCAGCAGCATGGATCATGGAGGTACGAGCGACCTCCATGACTAAGCCAATGCGGCGCTCAGCAACCTCATTCTTCTGCGGAGAGGCCGGAAGCGTGAACGACTGGCGAATGCCCTCCCCACAACAAATGTCCCGCAAGAGGTCGGAGGCGAACTCACCACCTCTGTCAGAGTGCAGACGCAGGACATGAAGTTCCGCGTGGAACCGCTCGCGGAGGTGGAGACGGACAGCGCGGATCCAAGGGATCGAAACATCAGGGACCTCACCCTTGCTGCGCAAGGGGAAGACCGTGGTGTGACGCGAGTAGTCGTCAACAACCAGCAGAAAGTATCGCTCGCAGCCCTGTCCACGGATGCGGGCTGGGCCCCACACGTCCATGTGGAGAGTCTCTAGGGGAGCAGTCGTCGGGGGAAACGAGGAGGAGTGAGGAGCGGCGCGCTGCCGCCCCTCGACACAAGGAAGGCAGGGAGGGGCAGGCGAGGGTGGGAGGGGAGGCAGAGACCTGGGAAGACCAGAGACAAGGAGACGGGAGTGCATGCCACGGAGGCGTGGCACGGAGGGGTGACCAAGGCGGTGGTGCCAAAGGAGCGTCTGGTGCAACAGGGCGCGACACGAGCAGGGGGCTGCTAGCTGACCTGACGCGGACGCAGACGCAGCTACCTGAGGAGGCTCAATAGTCAGTGTGTACCTACTCGACCCAGGCCGACGGGTGAACGTGGCCAGGTGACAGCTCGTCCGTGTACACGTGCAGATCGACACACGCTGACCCCCAGGAGTGGTGGTAGTGACCATCGCATCCTTGAGGGCAGCAGTACTCACCAAGTTCGTAGAGAACGAGGGGAGGTGAAGACCTGAGAGTGAGCCGGACGGAACTGCCGGACACGGGAGAACAGTGGAGGAACGGGCAAGAACTGGGCCCCCTGAAGGGTCAGCCAGTCTGACAGCAACAGGTGCAGGGAGTGGTGTGACTATGGTGCTGTCGCGAAAGAAACAGCGGGAAGCACCTGAGTCAAGCGTGAAGGTGTGCAAGGCCTCAGCAGGCGCAGTACCAGGGAGAGCAGACTCACTAGCACCTAGAGCAGCAACCACTATACCTGGGTCGGGCGGCACACACAGGTAACAATTACCCTCAACACTAATAGTCAATGCATACATGGCAGCAAGGATAGCATCATAGTCAAGAGCAAAGATAACAACATTCTGCCTAAGAAGGTCATGCCAGCGGGGAAGCTCAGTCGAGTCGGGAAACTCTGTGCGCCAGGCGTCGTCAAGACGGGAGAAGCAGCGGGACTGGGTGTGACCAACTTTCCCGCATGTCTGACCAGGGCGGTTACCTGTGCGAAAGACGTATTGGCAGCGAACACTACCCCCAGACGCCCCACGCTGAGCAAACCACTCACGAAGCTCCTGGGGCGAAGGGGTCTCACGCTGACGCTGCTGCTGCTGCCTCTGACCACCGCCAGAACCGCCCCTCTGACCGGCTCCACGCCGACCGCCACCAGTGCCGCCGCCACCACTCCCACTGCCGCCACCACTGCCGCCGCCACCACTCCCACTGCCGCCGCCACCGCCGCCACCAAAGCCTCCACCCCCACCACCACTCCCTCCGCCACCACCGCCACCTCCTCCGCCACCACCGCCCCCGCCACCGCCTCCACCGCCGCCACCCCCACCACCCCTGCCTCCCTTGCCCCTGCCGCTGCGGCGCCTCCCACTAGGAGCAGACGCAGCTCCTACCTCCTCAACACGAAGGTAGTCAACAGCAGCAGCAGAAGCGACTGAGGGGACAAGGGGGGAGGGGGAACACCCTTCAAAGAAAGGAGTGCGAGGAGTGCCACGAGAAGCGCCTACAATGACTATGCTGGTCTCAACTGCAAGGAGGTGCTTCTCGAGCAGGTCGACAGTGAGGTCTGTGGGGTCAAGGGCGAGAAGGAGGTCCGTGACTGCGCTAAGAGAATCAGGGAGGCGGATGACGATGAAGTAGAGAGTAATGTACATGGGAGGGGGGTTCTTCGCTAGAAACTCGGCGGGAAGCGCGGCGCGGTAGCGAGTGTCACTAGTGCGAAGGTGAGTGACGAGGTCGGCGACTGTGGCAAAGGCGGACAGCTCGGGGAACACGTAGGGCAGTATAAGGCGGCCTAGAGCAACAGTGGCCGAGGAGGAGTAACGAGCGACTACAGCGTTGTACAGGGCTCTAGCAGTCTTGTGCTGGCCAAAGTGAGCGCGTTCGGCTAACGGCAGGTGGTTGCGAACGGCTAGGCGAGCAGCTGCGTCACGGGTAAGCCACTGTGAGCGAGTCGCGCCGTCAGTTGTGGCGGAAGGGGCGAGAGAGGCTCCAGACGTGAGGTCAAACAACGAAACACCGTCCCTAGAATCGCTCAGTAAGTCATCGAGCCACGCATCGAACTCTATCGGGCGGCCCTCAGGATTGAAGGTGAGGACGCTGAGAGTAGCCATAGCGGGCAGAGCAGTTGGGCGCGCTAGCAGCAGGGCAGCACGCAGGCAGGGCAAGGCAGGGCGGCGGCCAGCAGGGCGGCGCGCAGGCAGATCAGGGCAGGGCGGCAGTCAGCAGGGCGGCACGCAGGCAGGGCAGGGCGGCGCGGCGGCGAGCGGCGCGCAGGCAGAGCAGGGCGGCGCGGCGGCTAGCGGCGCGAGGGCAGGGCAGGGCGGCGCGGGCAGGGCAGGGCGGCGCGGCGGCGAGCGGCGCGCGGGCAGGGCAGGGCGGCGCGGCGGCGAGCGGCGCGCGGGCAGGTTAGGGTGGCGCGGTGTCGAGCGTCGCGCGGGCAGGGCAGGGCGGCGCGGCTGCGAGCGGCGCGCGGGCCGGGCAGGGCAGTGCGTGCGCCGGCGGCGCGACGCAGAGCAGGGCGCGCGCGGGGCGGCGCGACGCAGGGCAGGGCAGGGCAGCGCGGCGCTAGCAGGGCGACGCGACGGGTGGGGTAGCGCGATACGGTGGGCCCTAAAAAAAAACGGTCCTAGGAGAGGACCTGCTCTGAAACCATGTCAAAATCACTAAGCGAGAATGATTGAATTGAGAAAGAACAGAGTACAAGTACTAACCCTGATTGGGTTGTACCCCTTATGGGCTACCCCACTACATCCTACACATAATAATAGTTTGTCAGTTTCAATTGTGACGCGTCCTTAAAGGCGCGTAACCATTTTGTCCCAAACGGTTCGTTTAGTGGACAGTCCGTTCGAAACGGTGGTTACTGCCGTCGCCTGTGTTCGCGCAATATTTCGCACATAACCATGCGACGTCGTCATCGAAACATAACCGAGTGGAACTTTTATGTGAAAGAAAGGAAAGAACCGAGCACCCGAACGGTTACGATTTGCTAGAAACGGACGGGTAAAAAATGGCAGCTTGTGAATGGAGCACGAGAAATCGCTGACGCTGCGGCAACATACGAAAATGACGATACTCGCTGACCCGAGACGAATGCTAACTGTGCGAAAATCAAGACGCTCGCCTGATGGAGTAACATGACCCAGCTTCGCGCGAAACCCTAAACTTTGAAAAGTTATACTTCCAGTTCGAATACTCAAAGTCTGTTTCGATTTACGGACTGCTCGTAACGGACGGTTCCGTTATCGAACGTTGGTTTTCAAACACAACTTCAAGAAAAACCAAAATGGTTACGCGCCCTAATCAAGGCATGCTGCCATTCGCATTTCACCCTCGATAGGTAATGAACGATAATCAATAAGCGGCTGTTTGTCAGCCTCGCCGTCAAGTCGCCAAATTAGAAATTTCCGTCAGTCGAGCCGGCGTGTTTGAATCTGACGGCCGTCGCGATCGGCCTCGTCGCATGCCGACCGCCGTCGCATCGCCGTCACCGCCTCTAGCCCGGAGCGTCGTTTCGCTGGCGGCGCTTCTGCTGCTTCTCGCGGCCCCCAGCAGCGCGCCCCCTCCGCACGATGGTGAGTTAACGGCTTCCCTGCTCACTTGATAGTTGCAAGGAGCTTCACTTGAACGACTGTGTGTCGCCGCCGTCGTCGTCGCCGTCGTCTTCGTCGCCGTCGTCGTCGTCGCCGCCCGCTCTGCCTAATGACGGCATCAGCACTCGCGCTCACTCTCCTTCCCGCCGCGTCTCACGCAGGCCATCTTCAACCCTTCGTTCAGCCCCGTCACCCTTCCATCTCCCCCCTCGCATCTCCCCTTGCCAGGTCCTTCCCGCCAGCAGCAGCGGGGGGCGCAGTACATCGTGGAGCTGCGCGGCGCCCCCCTCGCCACGTACCGCGGACACCTCCCCGGCTTCCCCGCCACCGCGCCCAGGGACGAGGGGGTCGACCCGCACTCCGCCTCCCCCTTCCCCTCGACTCAGGGGGACCTGCCCCAGGGCGACCTGCCCAAGAGGGAGCAGAAGCAGCAGCAGCAATGGCGGCAGCGGCGGCGGGGAATAGACATGAGGGCGGGGCACGTGAGGGCGCTGAGGCGGGCGCTGCAGCGGCAGCAGGAGCAGGTGGCGGCGGACGCGGGGGTGGCAGCAGCGGCCGTGCTGCTGCACGTGCACACCGTGGCGCACGCCTTCGCCGCTGCCCTGTCCCCCCGGCAGGTGTGGCGCCTCAAGAGGCACCCCGCCGTGGCCTCCGTGCGCCGCACCCGCGTCTTCCGAGCAACCCCTGGCACCACCGCGCCTCTCTGGCGCGCTCGCCCCACCCCTGCGTCCAACGCGTCTGCCTCCGCGCGCACGTACGATGCAGACGCCGCCTCCTTCATGGGGCTGCCAGGGTCGCTGTGGCAGCAGGCGGGCGGGCAGGGCAGCGCGGGCGCGGATGTGGTGGTGGGGGTGGTGGGGTCGGGCATCTGGCCCGAGCACCCCGCATTCGATGCCTCCGTGGGTGCCTCTCTGCTCTTCCAACACTCTCTCTTTTTCCCTGTCACTTACACTCACAAACATGCACACCTATTCACGCACGTTCTGCTTCCCTCCCAACTCTCGCCTGCTCCCCATTCGCCTTCCGCACACCCCACAACATTCCACCACCGTTTCTCACCGCTGCTCACCACCCACCTGCCGTGGCCCCCAGCAGGCGTTCAGCGGTGTGCCGGCGGGGTGGCAGGGCGCGTGTGACACGACGCCCGACTTTGCGTGCAGCGGGAAGATCATCGGCGCGCGGCGGCTGTACGCGGCGAACCAGCACAGCACGGGCGGGCCCGACTTCAGTGTGGAGTATGACTCGCCGCGTGACATGGATGGCAGCGGCACGTGGAGCGCAGCGTGAGTGCCCCGGGGTGAGTGCAGTGGCGCAGAGGGGTGAGTGCAGTGGCGCAGAGGGGTGAGTGCAGTGGCGCAGAGGGGTGAGTGCAGTGGCGCAGAGGGGTGAGTGCAGTGGCGCAGAGGGGTGAGTGCAGTGGCGCAGAGGGGTGAGTGCAGTGGCGTAGAGGGGTGAGTGCAGTGGCGCAGAGGGGTGAGTGCAGTGGCGCAGAGGGGTGAGTGCAGTGGCGCAGAGGGGTGAGTGCAGTGGCGCAGAGGGGTGAGTGCAGTGGCGCAGAGGGGTGAGTGCAGTGGCGCAGAGGGGTGAGTGCAGTGGCGCAGAGGGGTGAGTGCAGTGGCGCAGAGGGGTGAGTGCAGTGGCGCAGAGGGGTGAGTGCAGTGGCGCAGAGGGGTGAGTGCAGTGGCGCAGAGGGGTGAGTGCAGTGGCGCAGAGGGGTGAGTGCAGTGGCGCAGAGGGGTGAGTGCAGTGGCGCAGAGGGGTGAGTGCAGTGGCGCAGAGGGGTGAGTGCAAGGTTGAGTGGCCTGTTTCTTTTTCTAGTCTTCGTTGTTTGTAGAGCCTTCCAGGGTCACTTGCTACAGTCGTCCTTCCCTGCCTTCCTCTTCCTCGTCTCACTCCCTCGCCCCTGCCATTGCTCCCTTGTTTCCTTCTCTCCTGCCCTCTCGCACTCCCCCTTGCCTCTCCCCCGCCATCAGAGCAGCGGTGGGCAACGCGGTGACGTGGGCGGACGGGGCGAGGACGGTGGGAGCACGGGTGGCATGGCGCCGGGAGCACGGGTGGCGGTGTACAAGGCGGTGTGGGCGGGGTACGGGTTTGAGGCGGACGTGCTGGCGGGGGTGGACCAAGCTGTGGCGGACGGTGTGCACGTGCTGTGCGTCACCGTGGGGGGCTTCAAGGGCTCCCTCACCACCTACTTCACTGACGCCCCCTTCCTGCACGCCCATGCTGTGAGCCAGCGAGGGGGTGGGGGGGCAGGGAAGCCGAACGCAGGGGATGGGCTGAGGGTGTGGAGAGAGGCGAGTTTAGTGGATTGTCTTGCTTGGGGAGAAGGGGTTGGGGGGGCGGTGCAGTTGATGAAGAGGAGAGAGTGCCGCATGTGTGAGTGAGCATACGTGAGGGCTTGCTCACGGGATCCCGACACGTTGAAATCCAGCCATCCAGCTTTACAGCCTCGCAGCCTGGCCGTTTGACAGCTAGATCGGTGTGTGTGTTTGGGTGTGCGTGCGTGCGTGCATGCGTGCGTGTGTGCGTGCATGCATGGAGGCAGGCAGGCGTGGTGGTGGTGATGGGGGCGGGTGACTGGGGGGAGCCCAACTTCTGGCGGCTGCTGGGAGCATACATCCGAGTCATCGACAACTTCTCACCCTTCTACCTCACTGTGGGCGCCAGGTGGGCTCACTGTGGGCGCCAGGTGTGTTCTCTGTGGCCGCCAGGTGGTTTCACTGGGGGCGCCATGTAAGTTCACTGTGGGCGCCAGGTGGGTTCACTGTGGGCGCCAGGTGGGCTTTCTGTGGGCGCCAGGTGGGTTTTCTGTGGGCGCCAGGTGGGTTTTCTGTGGGCGCCAGGTGGGTTCGCTGTGGGCGCCAGGTGGGTTCGCTGTGGGCGCCAGGTGGGTTCGCTGTGGGCGCCAGGTGGGTTCGCTGTGGGCGCCAGGTGGGTTCGCCGTGGGCGCCAGGTGGGTTCGCCGTGGGCGCCAGGTGGGTTCGCTGTGGGCGCCAGGTGGGTTCGCCGTGGGCGCCAGGTGGGCTCGCCGTGGGCGCCAGGTGGGTTCGCCGTGGGCGCCAGGTGGGTTCGCCGTGGGCGCCAGGTGGGTTCGCCGTGGGCGCCAGGTGGGCTCGCCGTGGGCGCCAGGTGGGTTCGCCGTGGGCGCCAGGTGGGTTCGCCGTGGGCGCCAGGTGGCCTTCCATTCTCCCAAGTCCTGCGTGGTTGTTTTTTGGATCGCAACCCCTTAGCTAGCGTGCAGCCCCATGAATCTCGGTTTCATCTTCGCCTTCCTTCTCGCTCGTTGCTTGCACATGCCACCATTCGTGAACCTTCCTCACCCCTCGTTGCAGTATCTCACAAAAATGTTTCCGAGGCTTGATGTACATTCCTCCCGTTCTGTACCCACCTTGCCACCCTTCGCCGCATCACATGCTGCCATCCCATGCATCACAGCACGATTGCAGGGCAGGGGGGTTTGTCAGGTGCGGCATCTGCTCGCCACACCAGCACAGCCGTGGCACCTGCTGCCAGCAATGGCAGGTGAGTGCGTTCCATGCTGCACAGCCGTGAGTGAGTGGGTTCCATGCTGTGACGCAGCGATCTTGTTTTTTAATCGGGTTCCCGGCTCAATTCTTTGTTCTCTTTACCTCTCTACAATTTTCCTGCACTTCTCTTCGCTTCCACTTCCCCAGTCATTGATCTTTAGTTTTCTCCCTCCGTTCTTGCTTTGAGTGCACTCACTTTACATCCCATCATCACACTCCACCGTCTGTGCGTCTGTCCATTCCACCCGCCAATTCCAGTGTCTTCAGCCCCACAGCACCGCAAGCATGGTCGTCATCAGCAGCAGCACAGCCAGCCAGCACAGCAGCTGCCACAGTGGCGGCCTTCTCCTCAGCGGGGCCGCTGGTGTGGCCGTGGTACCGGGTGCGCCCGCCCTTCCCCACCAACTCGCTGCTCAAGCCCAACCTCCTCGCCCCTGCCGTTGACCTCTGGTCCGCCGCCCCCGCCACCACCATTGGTGCCCCTGGGGACCTCATAAACCGCACCGGCACGTACCTGGCGGCACCGCTGGTGGCGGGCATTGCAGCAGTGCTGGTGCAGCTGCGGCCTGGGTGGTCCCCCGCGCAGGTGATGTCAGCGCTCATGACGTCCGCACGCACCACCACGGTGGGCGGCGCACCCATGCGCACGGCGGCGGGCAGGAAGGCGACGCCGTGGCAGATGGGGTGCGGGGTGGTGCAGGCGGCGCGCGTGGCGAACCCCGGGCTCACCTTCGACGCCAGCGAGCGCCACCTGTGCAACTTCCTCGCGGGGCAGAGCTGGTTCCGCACGCGCAGGCTCTTCCCCGCCGCTGCTCTCACGCGCCTGCCCCCGCGCAACCTGAACCGCCCGTCCATCGCGCTGGGGCGCGCCAAGGGGGTGACCATCATCCTGCGCACCATGACGAGCGTGGCGGCTGTGGCGTCCACTTACACGGCCACGGTGGTCAACCCCTGGGGGGTGCTGCTCACCGTGACGCCGCGGCGATTCACGATCGCGCCGGGCGAGAGTGTGACGTACAGGGTGGTGGTGCGCGTGGTGGGCAAGTCGATGAGTTTCTTCTACGGCAGCATCACGTGGCGGGACGAGGTGGGGCATGTGGTGCGCTCGCCTGTGGTGGTGCAGCCGCAGCGCCTGCTCAAGTGGTGCATTGGGTGCACCAAGGGTGGCGTCATCAAGTGGCCTGGCGGCCCGCCCTAGCAACCCTAGCACCCCAGGAACAGATATACGAATGCAATAGTGAGAGACGAGGAGAGGAACGCCTGGGGTACGGCCATGATAAGATTGCCCTTTCCCAGATACCTAACCCTATAATCTCTTATGAGAAAATCCCTTGTATATTGTAGGGTTTGAGTAGCATTTGGTGTACGATACCACCACCCAGTACACGCTTGCACGTACTGAGTAAATAACTCGACAGCAAGGCTGACACGACACATGAGCGCGGAGCCACTCCTTTAACCAGTCTTGTATTGATCAGGACCTGGTTGCATTGCATTGGCACGCCTCAAATCACGGCAACCCCGCAGAGTCAAGACTCAAGAGGCCTGTTGAGATAATTTCTTTGTGTGGGCTGAGCTGTTTCTGGCTTGTGTGCTGGCATGAGCCCGCATGGTTGTCTTGTCTGCCACTGCCAGCTTCAAGTGGCGGTGTGAGCCATCCCATCCCACATACAGCCACCTTCACACCTGCACCTCCGCCACCAGCTGGCAACTGCGCATTAGTAATGCTGCTCTCTTGCCTCTTTGTCTTGCCGCCTTCCTGCCTCGCTACCGTTCAATTCCCCTACCACCAGACCACACGAGCCAACCATGGCCCCACCCCACCGCACCCCACCCGTCTCCCCTCCCTCAACCCCCGCGTGTCTTGAACTTGGCGCGGGGCGACTGCCTGGCCTCCTGGGCGAGCAGGGCGAGGGACTGGTCGCGCACCCACCAGTCGAGCTGCTCGCCGGGGCGCACGCTCTTGATGCAGAACTTGCGCTCGTCGTCCACCAGCCCCTGGAAGTGGTTGAAGCGCGCCGCGTCCGTGTCCACGTCGATGCCGCCCATGCGCGGCACCTCCACACGGTGGATCTGCACCGCCACCACCTGCCGGGGGTCCGCCGCCACGCGCCGGAACCCGTGGTAGTCCAGGCACAGCTCCCAGCGCGGGTACGCCTCCTTGTTGGTGCAGTAGATGTGCGGCCACCGGAACAGCATGCGCTCCAGCGCCCACGGCTGCTCCACCGCCGCCTTCTCCGCGCCCTCTGTCACCTGCACGCCGCCCTCCCCCGCACCGCCCTCCGCTATCCCCCCCACGTCGCGCGCCTCGTCGCCTGAGTTCTGCCCCTCGATCATGGCGGCGCCGCGCACCACGATGCGCTCGGTGAGAGAGGAGAAGGTGCACTTCTCAAACGACCACCACCGGCTGCCAAACGTGACGTAGGGGCGGCCGTCGTAGGCGTTGACGGTGGCGAGCAGCGTCTCGCCCTTGGCGGCGGAGAAGAACTCGGTCATCTCAGCGAAGAAGACCCACTTGGACGAGAAGCGGTGGCGCTGCACGCAGTCGTTGAGCACCATGAGGCGGCCGCGCTCCCACGCCTCGTACGCCGTGATCTGGCGCACGTCCACCACCTCCACCAGCCCCTGCTCCGTGTAGCTCTCCAGCATCGTCATCAGCGCCGCCCCGATGCCGCCCGCGTCGTACAGCACGAGGCGGTCCACGCCGCTGTGCAGGTGGAACTCCATCCACTCGTACATGCGCCGCGCGATGATCTTCCCCGCCAGGGGCGGCGAGCAGTACGTGAGCTGGTACTTGAAGGGCGCCTTGGGCGTGGCGGAGGGGAACTGCCTGGGCTCCTCCATGTACGCCACCACGTCCTCCCTGTCCACCGTCGCCAGCAGCAGCCCGCCGTAGTCCGCCTCCGTGCTCTCGTCCAGCTCGCACACCAGCACCACCGCCTCGTACCGCAGGTTGTGGTGCTCGCCCGGGTAGAACGCTGCACGCAGAGGGGCATGCAGGGCGTGTGTGGTGGGACGGCATGCAGGGCGTGTGTGGTGGGACGGGTGCAACAAAGGCAGGAGGCAGCACGGTAGTTGCCCAACATGAATCATGCGTCACGCGATCAACATAGACGTGCACAAAGTGCAATTAATCTCAAACCGAAACATCCCACATACCATGGATGTGGGCCACAATCCGAGAGCACTGACTGCTACAGCCACCAACCCAACAGCCCCCTGCACGGTGCGGCCTCACCTGTGAGAGTGCCTCACCTGTGAGAGTGCCTCACCTGTGAGAGTGCCGGTGACGCGGTGCCCGCCGTTCTTCTCCTTCCACACGCACTTGCCCAGCTTGCGCGAGTCGCGCAGGGCGCGCCCAGCCAGCCCCACGATGGCGAACTTCACGGCGTTCATGCGGTACGAGGCGAAGTGCACGAGCCCGTACACGGGTGCGTGCTCGCGGAAGCGGTAGTTGCGAGTGGCCTCGCGCGCCTCCACGGCGTCGGGGTTCGCCTTGAGGATGCTGATCAGGTTCTTCTTCTGCCCGCCGCCCAGCCCAAACCGGCTCAGCCCCATGGACAGCAGCCCGCCCACCGCCCCCCCTGCTGCTCCACTCGCGCCCTTCCCTGCCGCCGCTGTGCCAGGCACCGCCACTGCTCCCGTCGCCCGCCCCGCTCCTTGCAGCATCTGCCTGCCCGCCGCCTCCCCCGCTTTCGCCCCACCTCCCCCTGCCCCTCCTCTTCCGTCCCCGCCTGCCCCCGCCGCTCCGGCGGCTCCCCCTCCCATCCCCGCGCCGTTCCCCGCCTGCATCCCCCCCGCCGCCCCCCCTGTTGCTGCCGCTGCGGGCTCCGCCCCGCCTGCTGCAGCGGCGGCGGTGGCGAGGCCACCAGGCGGGGGGGCGGGGGCGGGGGCGCGCATGAGCACGATGACTAGCAGCAGCGCCGCGATCACAAGGTACGGCAGGTTCTGCCGCAGCGCCGCCGCCACGTGGTAGTACCGCGCGCTGCCGCCGCGCCGCTTCGACCGCGCCGCCATCGGCCCCCCCATGGTACCCCCCATTGGTCCCCCCATGCCCCCCCCCATGGCCATCGGGTCGCCCAGTGGCGGCGACCCGAAGAACGGCGGCCCGCCGGCCGCTGCATTGGGGCGGTACCGAGGCGGGGACGATGTTGACGTCATCATCCCCGCTACAGAGTCGTTCGATAAACGAATTAGGTTTCCCCCACTACCGTTGCCTGCCAATCGGTTCAGGCTTCCGCCGCTGCCGCTGGCGGTCATCGTGGCGCCATCCATCTCCCTGTCGCGGAACGCACCTGCGCCGCCCATCTCGCGGTACCCTGGCGGCGCCGAGTCTCTCATGCCCATGCCCAACCCCGCGGCGCCCGGCTCCCGGTAGCTCCCTCCGCCGCGGACCCCCCCGCCGTCCCGCAGCGGCGCCCCCTGTAGGTCCTCGTCCCTCGGCGCTCCGCTCATGCCCCCTCCTGGCGCACCCATGGCGCGCGGAGCGGGGTCGCGGAACCCGCCCATGCCCGGTCCGCGCATGGCAGGGGCGCGCGACTAGCGGGTGATGCGCACCGGAGGAAGGAAGGATGGGCGGTAGGGGTCTATTAGACAAAGAAGTGGAGCACCCAAAATCGCCAGAGGGCAACCATGCGTAGGTATGCTAAAAAAAAATGTATGTACGGAGTTTCCCAAAGGAATGCACGATGAAACCCTAGAACAGAACGAATACATCTGGCACACTGGCGATGTTCGCCAGCACCTTTGAAAGCAAAACGACGAGATAACGACGGGATCAGGAAGGTCAGTCTCGCCTTCCTGATCCCGTCAGTTAGGGTTCATTAAGCTCCGTCAGCCTGGTCAGCCCGTAAAAATGCTGCCGAGCCTCTCATGTCGTCCGAACCAAAAACCAAAGTGAGAGCCTGGCGAACGCCCCCATTTCTTTCCCATTTCGAACTGCTCGACGGCATATGGAAGCGGGGACGCAACTTCGTCCCCAGGCAAATATCCCTCCCCATGATATGCCATCGCCATCCCCCCTTTCACGGAGGACAGCGATGGCACACCTATGGCATTGCCGTTCAGAGGGGAACCTCTGATCGAGCCAACTGTTTGACAAATGGGGGTTCGTTTAACCCTGTTTTTCCCCTCCCCAATACAACTTCTAGGTGGGAGTGGGTCGTGCGAGAAGGGATCGGGTTTTACTCGACAAGGGTTTTCTTTTCTTTGCGATTTTTACCCTAGTCCAGTAGTTTTTGGTCCCTGGTCAGGCTATGGTCAGTGGCGCAAAAATCTCGCGCCAGTAGGGGGGAAGGTGGGAATGGAGGTTCCCGATGCGGTTGCGTCATTTCCCATTTCGGGACCGGAAGCTTCGCGAACGGCATTTCGCCCAAACCTCGTCGGTGGGTTCCGCCCCGGGTTCCTGATGCCGTTGCCATACCGATGCGGTCAATTTTTTTTCAAATTTGCATGTGCTGGCGAACACCGCCACTGTGGCGGTGTTCGCCAGCACATCAAAAAAATTGAAAGGCCTCGGGATGGCCGTGGAATCAGGAACCTCAAGGGGAACCTCCCGAATTCGAGTGGGCGAAATCGCAAAATTTCGCGCCAGAAAGGGGAAGGGTGGCAACGGGATCGGGAAACACCCTCCCCACCTTCCAATTCCCTTTCGCGTTTTTTGGCTTCGGAATCATTCCTGACCAGAGGCCCAGAATTCCAGTCGAGGGTAAGGACTACGGCCCTGTTCGATAGGCAGCCACCTCCTTGCAGGGCTAGTGTTAGGCTAGCGTTTGGAGGGTTCGGAGAAATTTTTGAAGGGCTAAGGACGTGGTGCAGATCGCACCGGTCTTACGCAATCGGTGGTCGATTGGATCAGAACGCAATCGACTGGGTGTGATTGCCCCGATCTGACGCAATCATCGATCGCCTCCCGCGCCGCGCAATCTGACCGATGTTTTTCTTCGAGACAGAGCGGAACCTCAGCCGCGCCTTCCAGGCGAGTTGTACGTCCCATTCCAGCACAAAGTTGGCGAAATGAAGCGACCGTCCGTTTCGCGCAATTACAAGGTAGCCCATTACGTCGCCAATTGTGATGTTTGGTCCAGAGATTCAGTCAGGAAATTTCGAATGTCGCGAGACGTTCTGTAGCAGCGAGCAAAAAAAGAAAATAAGTTTAGGTGGTTACTGATCCCGCGCAGTCGCCAACTTACCCAATCG